TCTTTTCTTTTTTTTTTTTTTTCTTTCTTTCTTTTTTAAGAGGGCGTTGTAAAGTTGGAGGAAGCACCAATCCTCATGGAACTGATGGAAGGGTACAACACCAGCCACACCCCGGGGGTAAAGGCCCGAGACACATCCAGGAGGCGGTTCAGCTGTTTGGCTCACAGCACAAGACAAGACAATGGGTCACAGAGGAGCTTAGGAGTAATTCCAGCTTTTAGGGTGGTGACAGGGCCACACTGACACCTACTATTAAAAAGGGGCTGCTACCTAAGCAAGGGCTAGGGCCACAGTGGGTGCTAAAAGGAGACAGCTAGAACTAACAAGACGAATCAACAAGTAGTCTAGGTTGCAGGACCAAAGGGACGTCTTCCTGGACAATGGAACTAGGAACTTCAGTTCACCCTTCTTGATGTGTTCCCAGCCATCCTTCATTTTAATCACTTCTGAAAAAAAGTCCTTATCCTTGCTGAGTACCTGCTGCTAGGATTCATACATGAATAAAAGCTAGCTCTTGTAGCCTGAGATGTACACAGGCGCATTCGAGACACTGGTGATCCCAATAAAATTTGAGTCTAAAATTGGGGAGGACCTGAGTGTTTGCATTTCTGTTGACTCCGGGCTACCGAGGATTTGGAACACATACTGATGCACCTTGGCAGCAGGAGAGGCCTTAACAGGTCACAGGCAAGAGGAATCACAGGTCACTCCCACCCACCCTGACAGGCACAAGAGGCTCAAGGGGAGGCAGACTTGCGGAGGATGTCACCAGAACTCACCTGAGTGATCCTGTGATACTATAAGGATAGATGTCGGGGCAGTTTTTCACAGCACAGACTACTGATCTTTTAGCCCTGCTTATGGAGTAGCTTCCAGAGGCCTAAAGCACTCCATCCCAGCTTAGATGATGAGATGAGGAGGTGGTGCCTGAAGCAGGGACCCACTATAGGGCACAGGTGGCAGATCTTTCTGCTGCCTCCTACAAGCCGAAAAGATGTATAGGCAGAGACCTTTGATGTTCAAAGAGCAAGAAGTAAGGCTCTTGGGCAGCTGTGGTTACAGTAAGCAGAAGGCAGGAGGACAGAAAATGAGGCTCTATGAATCCTGAGGCCAGAATGGGGTCCCTGGAATCATTGAAGAATTACTTCTCTGGGAACTCTGGAGCAGGTTGGAGCCACTGCTGGGAACAGGGTACCTAGACCAGCTCTTAGACTGTTAGCTAGGCTCCCACTGCTCCTTCCTTTAGGTGAAGGAAGTTAGTTTCCAGGGGCTGCAAGTGGGATTCCTATTCTCTGAGTGTGGGGTTACACAGCTAGGTTCCTGGGCCAGCACAAATGCCTGTCACAATCCTTAGTCAAGGGACTGAAGCAAGCTCTCCCCTCAGATTGCTGGATGGAGTTGGGCTGATCCAGGTAACAACACTGTAGAGTGCTTAGCACAGTGCCAGGGTTCAATAAGCTCATGGCCAGTGCTGGCAGCTATCATGACCACTGTTACTACAGGGAGAAATAGCCTCATTCTTGAAAGCCTCCTGGGTTTCTTCCAGGACTTGCTTGTCTGGTGACAGGAAGATACTGCTGACATCTGGTCACACCGGCTGGGGCTGCAGGCAATGAAATGGACTTGGAACATTTCACCTTTGTCCTTTTCAGAGCTAGAGGTGGAGACACTTCAGACAAAAGAATCCTGCAGGGTGTATTGCCACGAGTAGTTTTTAGTCCATCAATGGTGTTGGGAATAGAATGCTCGCTGAGCATGCACAAAGCCATCCCTAGCTCCTCCGTAGTGGTGGGGCATACCTGTAATCAGCACTTGGGCGGTAGAGGCTGGATGATTTAAAAATCATCCTTGGCTACCTGATGAATTTAAGTCCAGCCTGGAATACATGAGACCCTGAGAGAGGGAGGGAGAGAGAGGCGCTACAGCAAGAGGGCAGGCCATGGCAGACTGGAATTTCAGGTCAACTTTCAGACCTGCCATGATCCTTCGCTCAGATAGCCACACTGCTGCTTACTTGGCCGAGGATCCTGAGGGTACCCGGGTCTCCCCAGGCCTGATAGCACAACTGTCTAGGCCTAGGGAGAAAAAGATATGGATGCTGGGAGCACCTGGGTCCTACTAATTGTATTGGGAATGCCCTGGGTCAGGTGGGATCACAGAGGCCTGGTTACTGTCCTTTCTTCCCACAGCCTGGCAGCACACCTACTGATTTCTTGAGTCGGGTAGAGGTGGTGCACAATCAGCAGAGCCCCCAGGGTGGGAGATGGCTTTGCTCAGGGGCCCTTGCCTAAGCAGCTCTCCTGTTGTTCTGGATGTTGTTCTTTTCTGGTCAAGAACAAAGGAGGTGGAACTCAGACCTGGGTTTCTGTGCTAGAGGGAGAGAGATGTTTATGCTAAGTCAGGCAAGAGGAAAAAAAATCCCACGTGGGCAGCTGTCTCTAGCACCCTGGGGACCACTGTGGTGGTGCATTTAGGCCAACCCAGCACTCACCCAGGCGTGTGATGAGTTTTTCTTCCCCACTACTGTGTGAGATCTGCACCATTTGAGTTTACAGATTTAATGTAAAGGGGGGAGAGTTGTTGGTTTCCCTGAAGATGCCCTGACTTTGCCTTCTAGAAAGTTCCTGCATGGAGGGTGGCGTGATTTCCTCTTATGGGACAAACACTGATGTCTCAGGTTCTCGGAGAGGTCCTGGAGAGGTAAAGTTCCTCTAGACAGGAAGAAGGGCTGGTCTTGCCCCCTCTTCACGCACACATGTACATGGTGCACAGAGGCAGAACCACAGCACATGAGCGGGAAGTAATCCTGGAAGAGCAGCCAGCAGAGGAATGAGCACATTTCCTGCATGCTTTCTGACCTCAACACCACCCCACGCATCCCTGGCGTCTGCCGTGGGCCTCCCAAGGCAGCTGAGCCAGGAGAGGGCAGAGGGCAGACTGGTTTCCTGCATTCCTTTACTACTGATTTGGTCTCGACCTTCCAGAGTCATGAACACACTTGTAAACTCTGATACCAGCTGCAGATGTGCACATGTGAATGTATCTGCCCAGAGGGTCTCACACAAATGGCGTAGGCTAACTTTGTGGCTGCCCGTATTGTGGGTTTATGAAGGAAATCATAGCCCTGGCTATAAGCACTCCCCTGGGATTCTTCCTAGGACTGACTTTCTTCCCATTTGGGATGTTTTTTTGTCTTTTTCTATGATTCTGAATGTCCTTGGCTGAGGTGAGAGATTCTGATGGCCTCGGCAGGCCAGGGTAAGTGATTCCACCCCTTCCCATTTTGACGGGGTGAGGAGCTGAGATTCAGAGTTCTTTGCTATGTAAGTTTCCTCAGCTTGTATCTCTAAGCAGCAGCATGCTTTTGATTTCCCAGGAAACTTGTAGAACCCCAGATCTACGGTAGGTGCCCAAAGTAGTTTCTTGGCTCATACCCTCAGTAGCAGGAACCCACACTATCAACTTCTCTGTGCTCAGGAGAAAGACAAGACATGCTTACAGATGAAGTGAAAGACCAGAGAGGGAACACCAGGTGTCCTAGTCGGCCCAAGGCTCACACACTTGTGCTGCTGTCACTCTGAGGATGGAGAAGATGGTAGGGTTCTTTGGAAGGCTGAGGGCCATTGCAGGGCTCCTCTCTTCTGGGCTCCTTGCCCCTTCTGCCCCATCTAAGGAAAAGCCATCTCTCCATCTCACTTAGCCCCCATTACATGTTCTGCACCACCACACTTGGTCTCTGACATCTGTCCCTCATGTTTGGGGCTGGCCCCTACATGCTGACTTGGAGACAGAGGGTGGAGAACAAACTCCTCTGCTGAGGGAAAAGAGGTGGGAGCCATAGCAGGGGTCTTGGCATCAGGATATGGCAGCTGCTTCCTTGACCACAGCAAATGACTGCCCAGGGGAAACTGGTCTCCTGAGTAAGGAAATGATGGCATCCTGGGGAAATGGGAGCAAGGAAGCCAGGCTGTTGCTAGAGTTCCTCAGTCTCCCCATCAGGCGGAGCATGTAGCAAGAGAGCCTGAGGCCTGTGCTCCCATGTGCTTCCTGCTGCAGTGCTTGAGAGACCCATGGCTTTCTTTGTCATGGAGAGGTGTCCTCAGCACATGCCTTCTGCGATTTGACTTGGCATATCCAGGGGTGCAGGAAGGTTTGTAAAGCTCTGAAAATACTCTGAGCTTCTCAGACACTGGGCATGGTGTCTGGCCAAACATGGAGGAATTCCTACTGGGGCTGGACAGATGTAATACAGGCCTGGGGCTAGAGGCTAGAATATTACAGAGCTGCAGGAGGAACAATGTCACAGAAGGGCTGTGAGTCTATGTGAAACTAGTGAAGATCCTGGTGTCTACACAGCATGAAGGGTTCCAGAGACAAAGATCTGGCAAACATCCAAGACCCCCCAGGTAATTTCCTACCAAACTGTTCCCTGGGGCCTTTTTAAGGATCACATGGCTGAGGAGGTGGTCTCTGCTTGGGAGGGGAGGAGCTGGGCAGTGTGGCCAGGGAGAACAGTTACCTGCCATCCCGAAGGAGCACGAGGAACAAGCACTAGGAATGCCTTGGCTACCTTCACTTGCAAGGACAGCCCGGAAACAGCCTGTTTGAATTATCCTGTCTCTTGCCTGGGCTGCCTGCCATGTTGAGAGCTATTCTGAGCTTTGGTGAGGAGGAAATGGCTGCCTAGCTTTCTTCCACCTGTGAGACCCAAGACTGAAGGCCCTGGCTGGCTGCCTGCCTGTGGAGAAATTGCCTCAGAGGGTTTGCGCTTAGTCAGTAGTTCAAAAGCATCAGAAGTGTTGAAGATGAGGGGGAAGGGTTGTGAGGCTCTCTTCGGGAGATACAAGAGTGTGAGCCAGGAGGCAGGAGCGCTGTCTTCTGTGGTAGACCATAGGTAGGCACTCCACTGACCCTCACACATGGCAGAAGAGACTTATGAATGATCTCCTGGTCCAGGATACTAGCATTTCTCAGACCAGAGCCCTCAGGGAAATACTTACTGGGAGGGTTTAGTAGGTTGGCTCTGCCGGAGGTGGGCACCTGAAGTTCCAAGTGGCCGACTCGGAGGTCAGGGCCATCAGGTGCGCCTGTGTCATCCATCTGGCCTGCAGGGGAGGAAGCAATTTCTGCCAACACCTCCAGATCCTTCAAGACGACCTGGGGAGACAAGCGGAGGATGAAGGACAAACTCCCTACTATGAGCTGAGCTGATGTGTTAGAGGTGAGGTCAGTGATGAGGAGTGGCTTGCAGGGCAGAGGGCCTGCGGACCATGTGCTGCATGCCTGATGTGAGAGCCACTACGACCACAACTGTGAAAGTGCTTGGGAAAATGTGGTGAAGGTATAGATTAAGAGGCCACTGACGGTGGAAAATGACCAGGATGGAGAATCTTTTTCCCACAGCCCTCCTCTTTGGTTTTGAACAGGAATGGATGGGTCTCCTTGAGATGCAGGTCCTGGGCAACAGGGTGAACCATACACAGGATGTATCTTATGGTCTCTGAGGCCTTGGCTCTGTCCATCTCTGTTCACAGAACAGCTGTCACTGCAGAAATGACACCAGGCCATCCAGAATCTAAAGGGCCCTCAATGCTTTGGTGTGAGTCTGGCCTCCAGTGCTAAAAGGCTTCTTAACACCCAGACAAGACTGTCTCCCAAGTGTTTCCACCTAGCCTTGGATGGGGCAAGGTCTCTTCGGCTGCCTATTTGCCTACTGGGAGAGGCCATATACTTTCCCCCAGGGCTGTCCCTATAGTGCCAGTGGCCATGGGAACTACACCATTTTTACTTGGCAGCAGAGCTGCAGGATGGCAAAGCCCATCCCATACAGTGGGCAGTAGGGAGAGGCCAGGGACATGCCCTGTTGGGAAGCATCACGAAGGATGCTTGCCCCTTTGTGTAAGACTGCAAGACCTTAAGTCTAAACTCCCCGCAAAAATAACTCCTCCCACTACATGCCCTGCAAGCTTTTTGCTCTCTACTGGTCAGTCCTGAAGAAGGCCGACTTCTGCCTCATCCACAGGTATATCTCTAGGACTAACCTTGGTACCCAGCACATATCAGCTGACAACAGGAACAACTGTGCCTTTTACTGGGCTACCTTAAACCCAGATCAAGAATTAACCATTAAGTGGTGTGGGAGGAGGGGGAAAAAAAAAGAACCATGGTGGGTCAGGGGACCAGTGGAAAACCTGTAGACCTCTGTGGGGCCCTGATAGGTTAGCTAGTGGAATATGGTAAATACAAGATCAAGATGAGGCTAAGATGGGGTTCCTTTTGGGGTGATGAAATATTCTGGAATCAGATGATGCCTACAAAACCCTGTAAGCACAAATGCTCCTCAACTGAAGATGGGTTATATCCTAATACAATTTGAAACTATCGTCGCCATGAATGCACCCATACATCCACCTGCGAGTACTGGAGTTCAGCAACACAGTCTGCTGCAGACATCTGCTTCCCTTTAAGATCACAGGCTGACTGGAAGCTGCCCACATCAAAGGGCACAAAGCATGGTGTACACCTGTGATCCCAGCACTTAGCAGGGAGAGGGAGGATCAGGTTGGGGTTAGGGAGATGGCTCAGTGGGTAGAATGCTTGCCACACAGACAGGAGGACCTGAGCTTGGTCCTCCAGCATCAACCAAAAAGTGAGGCACAGGACCACATGTCTTGTGCTGGAGTGGAGGAGACAGGCAAATCCAGGGGCTTGCTGGACAGCCAGTCTAGCTCAAATGGTGAGCTGCAGGTTTGGTGAGAGACCCTGTCTCAAGAAGGTAGAGGCCAGGCAGGTTGGCAGGTAGAACCGCTTGCCATCAAACCTGCCAAGCTGAGAACAATTCCCAGAACTCATAAGGTGGAAGGAAAGGGCCAACTACCACAGTTGTCCTCTGACCTTCATTTACATACACATGCCGTGGAGTATGTGTGTGAGCAACAGTGGAAAGGATATGGTGTCTGAAGTGTGAAAGTGGTTCTATCAACTCAGGTAACAGGCCTTACCTTATGCTATTAAGTTATCACTTTTCTTAGTTTCTGCTTGACCAGACTGCCCATACCCTCTCTGAGGCTCCCACTGCCTGTTGACTCTTTCTGGCCTCTCGGTCTTCTCTAAGCTATATCATGTTTGGCACATGGTCTTAACACCTGCATCTTGGCTTCCTCCAGGCTGGTCATGGCATCACTCACACAAATGCCATTTCCACACTTCTCTCACCACTGAACCTTAGACATTCTCTAGGCCCTGTCTGAGCTCCTGCCCTGCATCAGAGCTGCATTAGACACTGGGGTGTAGGAGGAATCAAGGCCACCTTTGCCGATGGCAGTGGGAACAAGAAGCAACAAAGCAGTGGCCCTTGCCAGGAGCTTATCATTCATGTTCTTTCATGTTGCTCTTGGAATAGGTTCTGTTTGCTGAGTTGTGAGAAATGGATTTGCAGCGGTTAGAAAACATGGTCCTACATAGCCCTGTCAGATGGCAGGAGCAAAATCTGGCCCATGCCAGGCTAAGAACCAGAGGACCCTATGTGTGTTTGGGTTGCTGGCCTAGGGTTCTGTTCATTGAAAGGAGAAGTCTCCAGCAAGCTCTCTGCTCCAGGGATGGAAGAGGCAGTGGGAAGAGGGTGTGGTGGGGAGGCAGATGGCACAGTTATGTAGTTTTGAAAGAGAAGCAGACTCTAGCCCTCATCATTCTTTGCTCTTCCATTTCACAAGCACGTTATTTCCCAAAGGTCAGGGATAGGGAAACTAGATCTGGGACTTGGAGTTGGGGGACAGTGAGGAGTGACTCACCCCAAACTAAACAGCAAGGCAAGAATCAAGCCAAGAGTTTGACAATAATTAAACCGAGTTTCCATAGGTACTCTAATTCCTAGGTGTTACCAAGAGAACTGCAAACATGTTCACATAGATACTTCTTTGTGAACATTCACAGTAGCTGAACAATGGAAAGGTCCTTCTTCTGATAAACGGGATGTGGTGTATCCACTGCATGGACTATGACCTGGTCATAGAGAGAAATGAGGAAGGGGGTATTGCTCAGTGGATAAAAGCACTTGTTGTACAAACCTGATAAGCTGCAGGGCGCATCTGTAACCCAGTGCTCCTATATGAGGTGGAGACGGCCTGGCATAAGCGGGGTATCCGCAGAAACAACAGAGACCCTGGCTCAATAAGATAAAAGGTAAAACCGACTCCTCAAAGTCACCCTTGGTTATAGCATGTGCACATACCACAAACACACAAAATTTAAAAAATAAATAAATAAAAGGATACCAGCCTCTGGAGCAACAGGAAGAGCCTCATAAACATTTCCTAAGTCAAAAGAAGGTAGACACAAAAGGCTACAAACTACAATAATTACATGAAACGTCTAGAAGAGACAAATCTGAAAAGATGAAAGAAGTACATTTGTGGTTGCCAATAGTCAGTGGGACTTCTAATGGGTACATTGTTTTCTTGGGGGAAGCGCTGGGGGAGGAAATGTCCTGGAATTAGGCAGTAGGGATGGTTGTGCAACCTTGTGAAAACATCTTGAAAACTGCTATGATTTGGTACATGAACTGTATGAAAAACCTAAGAACAAAATCTCCAACTGGTATCCGAACTCTCAATCCAGCGGCATGTGCAGAGAACTCACTGCTGCTCTCACCTCTGCCTACGAGGTCATTCTTTCTAATGCCCTGTGATCTGACAATTGATGCAGACTGAGGAGAGATAAAGAAAAAGAAGATGATGATGATGTCACCCTGGTCTCCTTGTAGCACTCTGCTTCTGTGAGTCATGCTGTCCCTCTCAGATCTGTCTGTGCAGGTGGACAGGGGCACATACCCTCTCACCAACAAATTCTGGAGGTCGGATGTTGTGAGTGAGAAAAGCATGAGCAAGAAAGGCTGACTGGGGCGTGGTACAGACTATACTAGGCCAACTCTTGCATGATCCCTGACACCAGTACAGGTACATGATACATCAGGTGTCCAACAGGCACTTCTTTCCATTCAAGACAGTAGCCTGCAAGAAGAATGGCCTGTACAAGATCATGTCTCCTGGAGCAACTCAAGAACCAGGCTATAAGGGACAAGGAGATCAGAAGAACAAGCTGTACTTGCTCCTGGGTCAGGATTAATACTCAATCACCATCAGTGTCACCTTACAAGCTACGTGAGGAATCTGAGATTTGTAGTCACCAGCTCAAGACAAAGAGTGTTTGCTTCGTACTCAGCTCAGGTCCATAAGCCTAAGCCTGTTACTAAAACTACTCAGGGCTTTGTGGTCAGACATTCTAGACCTCCAACCCTCGCCCTAGACCAGTTAATGTCATCCAATGCAGCTCTCCTCTTTCTAACACATACTGAGCAGCTTCCATGGCTCTGCTCTGACTAGAGGAGACACAGGGCCAGCCAGGTCAGGCTCTGCTGGCGCCACTGGCTATAGGATGCAAAATTAACACTTACTGAAAGAGAGCCTCTGGGCCTCAGAAACCAGCAACTTGGTCTGAGGGGAGCCAGGAAGCACTTGAGAAGGCATTGCCCAAAGGTGTGTATGTTTGTGTTTGTATGTGTGTGTTGGGGGTAAGTAGGGGGTGCATTTGAACCATTCTCTTCATTAGCAATAAGCTGCTTATGGTTGCAGAGAACAAGCTGGCACATTCCAGGAAACAAAGCTTGTGGTAGTTTAGCTCCAGAGAGGGATGTGTGGCTGGAGGGGGTGTGTAGTCAGAAATCAAGCTCAAGTGGTAGGCTAGAGTGGTTGTCATCAGCTTATCACCCACAAAAAGGAATCTGGGTTTCATTTTGCAGGTAATAGCATCTGTTTTCCTGTATGTACAAATGGAAGCTTGACCATGCAAGGCTGCCCTGAAGGCTGGGAGACCAGCTGGCCCTCTGTGCTCAAGGATTCAACCAACTGTGGACTGAAAATACTAGCTGATGTGCATCTATACAGGACATGCAAAGGCTGTTATTGTTATTTTCTAAAAAATGAAGCATAACAGTTACTGCCATAGCATTTAATTGTATTAGGTCTAATATGTCATCTAGAGACTATTTAAAGTGCATAGAACAATGTATGTAGGTTCCATGAAAATACTGGAATTCACACTTTCAGATTCTGGAATCTACAAAGTCCCTGGAGCAATCCCTTATGGATACCAAGGAACAG